TTATTTTCTTCTGACAATAGCAGCTCCTAAAGGAAGAAATGCATCTTGTTCTTGCATTGGAGAGTTCAGTTTGTAACCTAGGACTTGCTTGTCCTCAGTGCACAGAAATTAGATCTATCTGATACCATATATATATATTTAGAAATGATTTGGAAAATATTTGAACACCTTGTCTTAAAATATTTTATTCATCATGTTAAAATAAAACGTTTCATAATCAATTTTTTTCTTTTCTTTTCTTTTCCCAATTTTTCAGAAAAAAACAAAAAAGGCTTCAGGAAAAAAACGGAAAAAAACGGTTTCCCCCCGAATTTTTCTGGTTTTTTTTCCGGGCCTTCACATCTCTACTTGTGCTACCATTTTTTTTTTGAGCCAGTGTAGTATAGAGGTCAGGGCACTTAAGACTTGGGAGGCCTAGTTTCAGATCTCCTCTGTGGAGCTTATTGGAGTCCTTGGGCCCGTTACTTTAAGCCGAGTCTACCCCGCAGGGTTGTTCTGGGGAAAAAAAATGGGAGAGACTGTGTACATTGCCCTGGGTTCTTTGGAGGAAAGGCAGGATAAATTTGGCTTGCTTGGATTGTGCTGCTAAATTAATCGCTCAGAATCTCAGACATGTTCAATAAATGGACGCTGCGTAAGTAAAAAATTCCTGTGGTACAGCTCTTCTGACGCTGGCTTGAATTTAGTGTGTAATCTGAGCAGTCATGAGACGATCTCCTGGTTTGCCCAACCACTGAAGAATGGAAGGAGGATAGAAGTTCTACGTTGTGTGTGTTTGTGTTTTAATTTTTAAAGATGCTTGTGAGGCTGAAGTAAAGTGCCTCTAAGATGATGCACAGGTTTGATAGAATCCGTTTTACTTATGGTACTGTATAAAGCTCCAAATTCACTGCTGGCCCAGAGGTGGTAATTCATATTGATGAAAAACTGTTACTCATAATATAATAGCAGAGTATCTATTCTAAGAGAGAACAGACCCGCCAAGGTGACAGGTGAGCCACAGGTTGATGCCTGACATCCCACTGCATTTCCGTAGGTAGTTCAGGCTTTTCTTGGTCCATCTAATTCAATACTGTCTAACTCTAGTGAACTGAATTTCATCTAAATCCCCACTGCCGGGGACTGAACCCAGGGCCTTCCCTGTATACAGGCCTTTAAGCAGTGGAAATTCTACCTCATCTGTTACATTTTTATCCTCGATTCTCCCTCTGAAGACTTCCGGGCAGTTCTTTCCATGTTACCCTCACCTTAATGAGGGAGGAGCTTTTTCTCTCCTTCAGCATGCGTGCATATGTGCTTCTTGGCAGATTCCAGTTTCATGGGGCTCTCAAGCTTCCTGAATTTTGTGTGGTCGTCTCCCCACCCCCCCACACTCCAGACAGCCCTGAGTGCCGCGTCTTCATCTTGTTTACTCTAAGCCAGAGAGGCTGGTTCACAACTGCAAGAGAAGGAAGAGACAGAGCTCAGACAACGTGGTTGAATTTACTGACTTATTTAAAACATGTATTAGTTGCCTTTCTTCCTTCTGGAACTCAGGACAGCTTACAATATAAATAAAATAGATTACGAGAAACACATAAGCCAAAATTTAAAACCACTTCTTTGGACTGTTTTAATTAAATGCAGTCCTAGATAAAGCTGTCTTCAGCTGCCTCCTAAAGATCGAAAGTGAGGGGGCCAGGCACACCTCACTGGGGAGGTGGTTTGATCATTGTGGGGCTGCCACCAAACAGGCCCCCTCTTGTAAATGTTATGAACGATCCAGATCTTCACCCTCCCAAACTAGCACATCAGCACATTCACGTATTATTATACGCAGATGATGCAGTATTACTTTCTAGAACCCCCACAGGATTGAAACGAGCCTTTAAAAAAACTCTCCCTTTACTGTGATAAAGAACAACTTACTATCAATTATGATAAAACTAATATTCTGGGCTTTGGGAAAAACCCAAAAACCAGATGCTGGGTCTTGCAGGGGAATCAATTAGAACAAGATACCAGATTCAAATATCTGGGCCCCCTCGTGTACCCACCAAATGACCTTCTTTGATTGACAGTTAATTCCTAGGCAAAAACATGTGGGAGAAGACTTTACCACTTCAGACAGCAGGTGCCGGATTGCAGGACTGCATCTCTGAATGCTGAGTGACACTCAGTGAACGTCAGCATGGCAGGGCAAACGATTCTACTCTCTCTGTTTGCTGTTGGCTTTCTGTTGGGAGGGCTTAAGAAAACACATACAGATGAATTTCAAGATGTGGTCCTTGACTTGTGATCTAAAGTGGTGCAGTCCATTCCACTGTCTTAGCATTCTTCTCCTGCATGTGTGAAGCAGGCCTTTGAGTTCTTGGGCAGGGTTTGGAATGCAGCTTCCAAAGGCTTACCCACACCTCTGCAGAGTGGGAAGTGTCTGCAACATATTTCTGGCTCCCACATGCCTGGGTATGTCGTGATTTCTTTTAGCCAAGTAATTTCCACCCCCGGATCTGAACTCACTGTTCACACCAATTCGAATCCCTGTTTTCATCCATCAGCACACATTGCCAAAGAGTAAACCAAGGATGACCTATTCCTCTTTGGAACACAAAAACACAGAATCCCCATTGGCTGTGCTTATCAGCTGGTATAATGCCTAGTGTTGTATGGAAATACTGCTCTCATGGTCGGATTGAGACCCTAAACTACCTCAGATTTAAAAGTCTCCATAGCATTGCCAAAGGGGGGGGGGACTTAATAATTTTTTAGTAGTAGTAGTAGTGGTAGCACCTTAGTGTTTAGTCATGCCGGCCACATGACCACGGAAACGTCTTCGGACAGCGCTGGCTCTTCGGCTTGGAAACGGAGATGAGAACCCTAGAGTCGGATTCGACTAGCTTTCGAGCAAGGGAACCTTTACCTTTACTTTAAAATGTATTTAGAGGGCCCTCATCATCTGAGTTGGATGGCCCAGGCTTGCTCAATCTCGGAAACCAAGGATGGAAGACCCCCAAGGAAGTCCGGGGTCGCGACGCTGAGGCATGCAATGGCAAACCACCTCTGCTCGGCTCTTGCCTTGAAATCCCCACAAGAGTTGCCAGGTAAGACATAATGGCACTTTCTGCCACCATAATCAGAAGCCCTGAAATGGACCTTACTTAGCTTGTGTATAAATCTAGCTCTCTGACTACTCTTTGGCACGATACCACCAGGCTGTGCCACGTTTTCTCCCCAAACCTCGTCCCAATGGGTCTCAGGGTTTCAGTTGCCGAGGACTTGGTCTTTCCCCTGTCACATATAAACACTCCTCCCAGAGGATGAGCCAAGGATGTATGGTACAGCAATACTATTGAATCTAAGCAGGTCTAAGTGTGGGCAGTGCCTGGACTGGAGCTCTCCAGCCAATCCCAAGAAGGACAAGGTAGGACATTAATGTAATTAAGAAATCCAGCCTGTCCCTACCCTACTTCTGGGTGTGACTGGGATGCTTAAAGTATGTTAAGAGAACTGATCCTGTTGAAATTCATGCTCAGCCCCTGATCTCAGAGTTGGTGTGGGGCTAAAATACTGCTAACGCCTGTGCCTCAAACCTTGGAGTGAGTCGATAAGGCAACAGTGCGCGCGGGGGGGGGGGGGGGGGGGGGATGACCATCCGTCAGAATACTGATCTATTTCACCGGAAGCAAATTTGCAGTGTGAACCTGTTTTGGAACCTGTTTGAATGCTGAGTAGGTTTGCCAGTTCTCCCAAAACTACAACTGGTCCCCAGACTACAGAGATCAGTTCCCCTGGAGAAGACGGCAGCATCTGCAGGTGGACTCTGCGGCATCACATCCCTGCTAGAGCTCCCCCCCCCTCAAAAAAAAAATCCACTTTCCCAGCCTGGAGTTGGCAACCTAATACTGAGGTTCTATCCTGTAACGTCTGAAGCAGTACTGAGAAAGAGGGTGCTTCTGAACATGTGCCGATTTCCAGATATGGAGTGTGTGTGTGTGGGGGGAATCTGCCAACCAATGTTATAATGGATCAATCTTCGTGTTGTAAGTGTTGCGTGTTTTAACACCACCAGGCCTGCAATTTGAGCCTGCTTTTGAAACAAATCAACAGAAATACATCCCAGAGACGCATCAGTATCAAACCTAAATTATCGTATCACTTACGTTTCTGTACTGGGCGACCAGATGTCTGTGGAGTAGGAGAGCGGGTGGGTGCGAAAACAGCGCAATAGCGCATCTGAGCATGTGCAGAGTTGCTTCGGACAAGCGAAGCGTCTGGGAGAGCAGAGCTGGACGCCGGGAATCATCTGCCGCCCAATGAGACTCTCTTTGCCTCCTTTCCCTTTTATGTACAGCACGCTTAATGCAAGGACGAGAGGGAGAGGCGTCCACCGCCTTCCTTTGTTCGCCGCCGCACTGGCAGCGCCAGAACCGGCAGCAGAGCAACGCATCCCCCCCGTCACTTTGGAAACACAACGCAGGCAGATCTCTTTCTCTCCCCCCCCCCCAGAGGAGGGCCGAGCTTGGGCTCTCCGCTCCCTTCCCTATTGGCTGCACGGTGCACAAAGGGTAGCAAATTTGGCTCGATCACATGTCCCTGCTCAGCTTCTCATTGGCTCAGGCGCACGCCTATTTGTATTTTCCCCCTTTTCTTCCCCCCCTCCTCTCCTTTGCACTTGCGGGGCGGGTGCCTCCCGCCGGGCTGCTGCCGCCCTTCCGTGCGAGGAGCCGGCGCGTACGCCCGAGCCGGCGCGTAAAGGGCGAAGGAGGCAGCCGGAGCCGGGCGGGGAGGGAGAGGAGGGGGGGGGGTCAGTCAATGGCAGGCGGAGCCCCACGTGTGGCTGCCTGGCGGGCTGAATGACTAGATGGGCGGATGGCGGACCTGTGCGCGGCACCATGAGGATCGCGCTCCGGAGCCTCGGCCGGCTCGCCCTGCTGCTGGCCTCGCTCCCGTGCGCCCTGGCCCTTGACGCCCAGCCGGGGCACGCCGCCGGAGGAGGAGGACGAGGCGGCTCCAGCGTGGCTCCGCCGGGGGCCGGCGTGGGGTCGCCGGGGGGAGCGGTGCTCTTGGGGCCAGGGAGGTCCCTCCCTTCTTCGCCGCCGCCGCCGCCCTCTCCGTCCCCGCCTCCCCGGGAAGAAGAAGAAGAGGACCTGAACGAGCTCAGCTCCTGGGCGGCGGCGGCCAACGCCACGGGGGGCCAGCCCACCTTGCCCGCCCAAGACGACCCCACCCCCGCGGCCACCTCCAGCGGAAGTCCCGCGGGGAGCCCGACCGCCCCGCCGCCCCCTGACACCCCCAGCCCGGCCCTCGCCGCCACGGCCTCCCCCTCGACGCCTCCCTCTTCGGCGGCCGGTCCCGGGGAAGGACCGACCCCGAGCATCCCTGGCGACGTCAGCACCGGCAGCCCGACCGCAACGCCGCCGCCGCCGCCCCAGGCGGAGGAGGAGGAGGAGGATCTGGTGGGCCACAGCGGCACAGGTGAGTGGGGACCCGGGGCTGGGGGGGGGCACACACAGGTAGAGAGGCACAAAGAAGGACCCATGGATTTCCCCCCCCCCCTTCATTGGAAGAGTTTCCCGTATGTGGGTGGATTCTTCCCGGTGCCTTGTTAAGGAGGATGCGCCCGGTAGTAATTGACTATGTCATGGGATGGGGGGGTGTTTGAAGTGTGTGTGTGTAACTACTCGCCCGGAGCCCCGGAGGTAAGGCTGGCTACAGTCGGAAACAATGAAGGGCGGTCGCTTAGATTATACCTTGCTTTTCTGCCCAGTGAGGACCCCAGACAGCTTGCCGGGTTTGTTCTCTCTTCCTCTTATTTTATCTCACAACAATCTTGCGAGGTGGGTTAGAGCCAGAGAGAGTGTGGGGCCCAGGGTCACCCAGTGAGCTTCTGTGGATGAGTGAGGATTTGAACCTGGGACTTTCCCAGAGTCTGCTTTGACAGTCTAACCACAACAGGGTGCTTTGTTGCACACACTTTGCTCCTTTTATCTTATTGGCAGATTTCTCTAGTTTTTTTAAATGGAGAGGGAAGTCTTATGAATGGACTGAGATGCTGTATATTTGATGGTGTCGCTCTTATTAATATTATTGTTATCACTATTTGTTAAAGTCGTTGTTGTGGTTGCTGTAGACACGTTACACCCACCTACTCTTTACTCATAGGCTACTATGATACTAAACAGTATCTCTGTCTTTGAAACAAATTCCACAAATAGCAGACCTTTTGGTGGTGTGATGGAAAGATGCCCAAATAGCCGAAGCAGTCCTAACTCTAAAAGTGATTAATAGAATTGGTTTTTGAGTGTAACACAGTTCTCTTGTGTGTGTGGCGTACCTCTGATGGTTATTGTTCCTCCTCCCTTTTTTTTTGTTCCTCTGTGTTCCAGAGACTTCTAAAATGTTTTTTTTTTAGTTTCCTGGCTGTTTTGCTAAATTGCTAAGGCCTAATAGAAAAGGTTGCTTGTTAATGGCCTGTTACTCTCCATGAGCCTTCAGGATGGTAATATTTACAGAAATAAAACTTCTTTGTCAGACATGCACTGTTTAAAATACTGTAGGAGACTGGGAAGTCCTCTCCCTCTTAGGGAACAGTTTTAAAAATGTGGCATTATCAACATTATTTCCAAATAATTATAAACACTGCAGATGAAGAGGCCTCTTCTCCCTTACCTGTCATCAGGGCAGGAATTTCTGTTTCTGTAAGCATTAGAGGCATTCTCCTTTTTCTTTTGTGGAGAAGGAAGTTCCTCTTCTAAGGTCTGCTCAGAATCTTACTCAGGCCTATTCAATGGGGCTTCCTCCTGGGAAAGTGTTCTTAGGATAGCACTGTGTGTTAACTTGTGCATGTCGTCTCTATAAAAGGTCCCCCTCCCCGCTGTTTATACAGTAAAGGTAAAGGTTCCCTTGCTCGAAAGCCAGTCGAATCCGACTCTAGGGTTGCGGTGCTCATCTCCGTTTCAAAGCCAAAGAGCCAGTGCTGTCCGAAGACATTTCCGTGGTCATGTGGCCGGCATGACTAAACATCAAGGCGCATGGAACGCTGTTACCTTCCCACTGAAGTGGTACCTATTTATCTACTTGCAATTTCTTGCTTTGGAACTGCTAGGTTGGCAGGAGCTGGAACTAGAGACGGGAGCTCACCCCGTCATGCGGCACACTCGGGTCTCGAACTGCTGAACTACCGACCTTCCACAGACTGCAGTTCAGCATTTTAACCACTTGAGCCACCGCAGCTCCTTATACATACAGACTGAATAGTTTAACCACCAGTGTTTCTTCAGATGGATTCCCTGCCTGATGGATTTTAGGCTATAGTGACGTAAACTATCTCAGTTTTTAAAATATATTATGCTACCCCAAAAGCCAATTTTACAGCTATTTTTTTAAAATCCTCTCTTTATTATAGTGGTGATTTGTAGGTCTCCTTGGAATAACAGAGATCTTTCTATGCTTATCAATACTAACCATCATCAAAGTAATAAAACATTAGCCCTACAGATGCATTGGAAATATGGGAAGTGATGGTTCTTTGATCTTCCGAAGCGTTAGAGAATAATGAATATGAATGATAGCACCAGTGACTGGCCCTTTATTCTCGCTCCCACACACCCGCCCTCCTACAAGCCAGTGGAAGCTGTGAAGATTTCTGCTGACGAGGGCACTTTTGAGCAGAGTAGTATTTCCTATATGGGGCATCCAGTCAGAGTGTCAGAGTAGGACTGTGTGGACCTCAGCTCAAATTCACACTTGGTCGTGAAGCTGGCAAGGTGATTTTGGGCCAATCATATTTTCTCTGCCCAACCTACCTTACAGGGCTGCTGAGAGCATGGAGGAGGGGAAGTAGCTGTGGTGGCATTGGGCAGGGGGTTGGACTAGATGGCCTGTCTGGCCCCTTCCAACTCTGTGATTCTAGGATTCTAATTGTGAACACTACCGTGAATTCCTTGGGAAAGGGGCATTTAAAAATGTGA